TGTCTTCCCTCTTTGTATGGTTTGAGATTTTCTATCGTCCCTATCAATATGGGGTTCATGTGACAGATTATATTGATTCTAAATGCTCTAACGCTTGGGATTGCAGCTACGTCGGGGGAGATAGCGTTGGCGGACGAACGAGATGCAGCTGAGAGCTTGTATCGAGGATGGATCGTAAAACCTTGGTCGGCCATTTCGACGGTGGTGGAGTTGATATTCATCCATATTGCAAGAGCTCATCCTCCTCTGAAACCACCTCCATACCAGGAGAGTTTTGTGGAATGATTTTATTTCACTATTACTTTCTCTTTAGTAGCAGTTGTTTCTGTTTTAGTCCAAGTAGATTTGGTTTAATGTTTGAATTTCCGGAGTTCTTTTGATAGACAGAGTTTCGGTTCCGATCATTTTAGGCCTAGATTTGCCCGTTTCAGGTTTAGCGAGTCATGTTGTTTTGTATGAAGTGATTGACTCTAAGTCTACTCCTAAAGTTCACGATTGAATCAGTAAATTCTGTCTACCGGTTGTCTTGTGTGTTTTTCAATTTTAATATTATGGGCGATGTTTTATGATTATTTTTTTTTTGAATAATTATAGTAAAAAATGAAGTTTATATAAGGATTGGTTTTTGAGAGTTGGTGTAGGTAGCAGCACCGACTATACTCGTACGGTCAGCAATGGGCACTTTACATGTTGTCTTTAACTGATGAAAGCATTCGGCTAACTGATCCATCCATCCAACTCTATATGGGAAGCGCAGAGCTAGATGGACAGCAGTTTTAAGAGGGAGGATTGGTTGGTTAGAGAAATTGACAAGTCATGAGTAGTACCCAGCGCTTTAGGCGTGGCACCAAAACTTAGTGTGGGCTATGGCCTGGGGCACCCCTATGCTATTTGTAGCCCAAATTAAAGTCTCCCTAGAAAAGAATTGAAGAGAGGAATACCATACATACAAAGAGGGCATTTGACAACATTGTTTTTCAGCTTATCAGGCTTATCAGCCAACTTTTTCACCAAACACGTAAGTTTTGCTTGCGCGCGCTGAATTGTGTAATAAGCAGAAAAAGTAAGGTTGAAGTTACTTTTCTGGCTGTATTGGTTGAAGTTACTGTAGATGACCATTTTAGCTATTTTAACATATAATTTTTCTTTATTTTATTAATTAAATATATTTTAAAAAGAATTTTTTCTTAAAACAACAGAATCAGCCAATGTAGCCACTTCAGTCAGAACTTCATATATTTCAGCAGAATCAGCCAAAACAGCTAATTTTTGTGCTGCCAAACGGGCTCAAAGTATCACAAGTGTTGCTTTCATCATAAATAAACTTGTTCACTTTATGCTCCCCAATTCTAAGCCCTTAAATGCCATTTTAGTTGGACGACACACCTACATAACAATGCTTGCCGGGCAATCCCAACAAATGATGAGCTACATGAATCAACCATATGAGAAACTCTCCAAAATAGGAGTAAAGATGAGGTGAATTTCAAGATATAAATAAATACTATATTTTCTCTTTAAACAGAAATAAATTACTTTTATCATGAAATCACACACACTGTCATATTGTGACATTATTAAACATTAGTATGAAAATATTGATTTCTAATTGACAATATTTTCTAATAAATGACCGTAATTATTTGGTAAAAATTGTATTACTCCATTTTTAAACATACCGAGACTGCTGCATTCTTAACTACTCAAGTAAGATTGTCTAAGCCTGATCTATTTAAATCTGAACTAGTTTACTTATATATAGTGTAAGACTAAATCAGTCCAATTTAAAATATCCAAGTTCAGGGTTAGAACTTTGAGGGAATGCATTTAGAAGTCCCATTTTTTGGAACTAATGAACTTACAAACAATCTAAACAATTAAAATCTAATGTGGTTTTTGATGAACACAAGTCCCTACGTTCTAGTTTTGTACTAATTTAAAAGCCTGTAAAGCCTCCTAGTTGTATATTTGACACAAAACTTTTTAGAATTTCCTAAAATATTTAAGATCCTTTTCGAGAAGTTACAATGAGTAGCTTTTGAGAGAATGTCTATAATTATTAACATTAATGAATCAAAATATATTTTTATATTAAACAAAACTAAATTAAATAGTCAACTTTTGTCACACATCTACAAAAGTTGACTCGTGATAGTTGACTTGTGTTAATGATGTTTTTTTTAATTTATGTTTATATATAATGAAACTAATATGTGTGTTGAGTGGCTGCAAGCATCTAACCAAAAAATCTACTTGTATAAACTTCCTAGAATGATAGAAAACATCTTTAATTAAAACTATATGGATTGCAGCTTATGGAACAACTATCAAACTGATTTATCACTTTAAACATATTTTAAATAACTAAATAAACATTTTCTTGTCTAACAACAAAGTCTAATATCTTATTTGTTCCCACCAAATGAGTGTTTTTCCAAACAGAAGAGTCCATTTCTTACAATTTAGACTCTTTGTCACTACTTTTATCACCTCTCTTTATCTCTCAAGTGATTAAGCTTTTTGGACCAACTCTTGTATACTTCAAAAAACCCTTATTTTATGCTTCTAAAACTCTATTAAATTGGGTTTAATGCTGGTGAAAACGGTACTTTTTAATAAGTTCAAAACAACTCACTAGTTAAATCACTAGTTAAATTTAGATGACCCTTTGTCACTATTTTACTTTACCACCTCTCTTTATCTTTCCAATGATTAAGGGTTTTGGAGTATTTATTGGATTCCCGCAACTTAAACTTCATTTTGTAGATCATAAATGCTCCTGAAATAAGTTTCTTATTCATTCAATAAACGCAAAAAGGCAAAAAGGCCCAAGAGTTTGCTCAATACAACCCCTAGACCGCGTTTGATAGGATGTAAAATAATTACTTTGCATGCGAAGTGGAGGTATATAAAATATTTACACCGTTTGGTTTGATTATTTAATGTAAATTATAGGGTATTTTTTAAAAACATTTCGCACTGTACCATGTAAATTATTTGATGTGTGTGTGTGTGTGGGGGGGGGGGGGGGGGGGGGGTAAAATATTTTGCGTTCTTTTTATAAAGCATTGTAATGTTTTTGCATGCAAATTAAAAATAAATTACATATTTAGCCAAACAGTGTAACCTATTTAAATGTAAAGTGATTGATTACCTAAACATTACAAGCAATCATTTTGCGTTCAAAGATTTAACGTGTAAACTACCGAGCGAGCCCTTTATGTCACTCCTATTCTATACACTTGATGTTTTCTCCATAACAGGACTGAGGACTCCTCTTTTTCTTAACCGGGCTCTCTTGGTTTTACAGAGCTCTCTGGTGCCCTTAATTCTAGCACTCTTCTACTCTTCTACTATCACTCTCCTGTCCTGAAAATATGTGCCTTATGTTTTACACAGAAGAGTCCATTTCGACTCTATCTTATTTTTAGTTTCTTGTTTTGACTCTTGTTTTTAGAGCCTTCGGCCACGAAAGTTAGACTTTTCGAGTATATGGGCTCAGGCCCACATACTCAAGGATACACAAGCGACCTAAATCCGTCCAACTACTCCTCTCATATGGGTCCTTGACCGGATGAGGGCGCACACAAAATAACAAAATAGAGTAACCAAGACAGAACGGGGCTACCAAAAACGCTGGATCAAAACCGTTGTCCGCAGTAGTCACCTCGACTAGTGTCACCTCGTCCAACACAAGACGAGTATTCAAGACAGAGTCTCGCTCAAGACAAGGAAACAAAAAGGACGAGGTCCACATGCGCCTCATCCCGCGACACCTCGTCCTACGAAACACAACTACTCAGCAGTGGGTTAGGGAATGACACGCGTCGCTCTCTGTAGCACAGCAGAACTCTCGCCCATAGGTTAGTTTACACGTTTACGTGTATTAAATGCACCGCTCATTTATTATTAGTATAAATACCCCCTTGGAGCATATGTAAATTGTTTTCAACTCATTTATTAGCATATTATTTCTCTGATATCTCTACTCGTAACTCTACCTGTCTATACAATACCACTAGTTGTTTATCGGTGAGCTATCAAAGGTTCTCCCGAACTATGTATGTAATAATCTATAGGCAATAACCGGAGAAGGATTAGTACTGACCATACTACAATACTCGATTAGATAAGAGTATAAGACATGAGGACTACATAATACATGGTCGTAGCTAGGGCTGAGCACATGTCCAAGACCGTACTGGACTGGAACCGGTTGGACTGAAATCGGAATTCTAAAAAAAATGGACCGAAGACCGGACCTATATAATTCCGATCTAGGACCGGACTAGACCGGATTATTCTGGTTTTTCCGCTCCGGACCAGTATTGGACCGGTTTTTTAATTTTATTATTTTTACAATGTTACATCCTTTAAAAAATAGTTTTGATTGTCCAAAATTTACTTATTAGCTCATTATTTCTAATACGGTATTCAAAATAGACACAATAGTATATGGGAAAGGGTGAGAAATTAACTTTAGACAAGCAATAGAAGCCCATGTATGTCCATCTAAAGAATCTTTAATCTCAATAGAATAGACACGATAATATTCAAAATCATTTAAACTTGTAGAATATTTTTATTATATCCAAAAAAATATGTTAGTGGGTGAGTTTTAGGAAACTACTAAATCTAATAATCTTTTTCCATTTGAGAATAAATATCTAAAGTGAGATATTTTTTTTCTTCTGAAGTGAGATATATATTCCAACAAGACTTCTACAATCTTAGATATACTTTCATACTTAAAAAAGTAACAAATATTAGGTGTTTTCAACCGGTAGCTTTTGATTGTACCCGATATTAGTTCTATAACTTTAGTCACATGTAACCTGATATGTTCCTATGACTAAGATTATTTGATCATATGTAGGTGAGGGAGATCAACTTTTGTATGTACCTTTGAACCTTTGCAAGAATCCCTCCTTCCTTGGGTCTTGGCTAATATGTTCCTTCTTGTAGTTCTTTACTTCTTTTTATCTTGTTCAAACAATGTCTAGTAAAATAAGTGAACTGAACATTATTATATTAGCGGCTTGTACCTAATCCATTTGAAGAGTTTACATATAACATAATCATCATGAAATGACATGAAGGAAGGAGAAGGATTATCAGATTGAAGTTAATTAATCTTTGTTACAACAGAAGGTTAAATATCCGGAATTCCCTAAACTTCCATATTCAAAGTTTTCCACAGGTCAAAGTGCCTTGAGAATCCGAAAGAGTATGAACGAACCTTCAGTCACTTTCCCATTCTCATTATCCATCCCGTAACTACTGGCAAGGATGACGACCACTTATGGCTGACAAGGCTTTACACCAAAGGGGACATGCATAGTTGAACCACCCTTAAACCCAATGGGGTAACAAAGATTCGGGTTACCCCAAACCCCTAACCTTCTCCCCATTTTCCCATAAAACCCTTCAGAGAATTGGAGCTCTCCTGCTAGATTATTTCCATTTAGGTAAAGTGCACCTATATTTGGCATATCTGCAATTCTTGGGGAAATCTCCCCTGTTAGGTTGTTATCATTAAGCCCCAAGAATCTCAACTTCTCCAGCCTTGTTATGGACTCTGGAATTCCTCCTGTCAATTTTGCATTGGACAGATCCAACACTGTTAAGGATCCTTTGAGGTGACCCCCCCATTCCAGTCCCATCAGGGTCCCACCCATGGGGTTGTCTGATATGACCATCTCCTCCAAAGACTCCATTCCCTGAAGTGACTTGGGGAGCCCACCTGAGAATCTGTTGTCACTCAGGTCTAACAACGTTAGATTCTTTAGATTCCCAATCTCTTCTGGGATTTTGCCACCAATTTGGTTCTTGCTCAAATCAAGCTTCAAAAGTGACCTCATCAGCCCAAGTGAGGAATGACAGTGACCAGAGAGAGAGTTTCTGCTTAGATCAAGTATCAATAGGTTTTGAAGACCACCAAAACTGTCTGGGATGTTTCCTGTAAAGTTGTTAGCAGAGAGAACTAGCTTCCTTAAACTGAATAAGCTGCCAATACTCCCGGGTAAACTGCCCGATAACCCGTTTTCAATAAGAACCAAAGATTTGAGCTTTTTTAGGTATCCGAAGGAATTCGGAATCGCTCCGATGAGGCCCGGGTTAGATCGAAATTCCAAGAATTCTAAGGTGCCATTTAGTGATTCCCAATATAGGGTTGTGATGGGGATTTGTTGGGGAGAGAGGAAGCATTTGAAAAAAGAGAGAGTCTTGAGGTGTTTCAGTGCAAATAAATGGGGGCTGAATTCTGCATTTTGGGCACATTCAAGAGAGTTGTCATGAACAGGTCCGATTCTCATGTCTGTCACATACCAAAAGCCATCAAAAAGGTCACAAGACACGCCCTGTTGAAGAAGATGAAACAAACAAGCCATTAGAAAGTTCTTTGAGGATGTCAATAAAAGAATTTCCAAGATCAAAACTTTTTCACGTTTTGAGCCCACTACTATTACATCGTTTTTACATCGTTTTTACTTTGGGTTTTTACTTTGGGATTTCTTCTCGATTTCGGTCTTTCCAATAATCTCTTCCCCAAACTATGTAGGTATTTTATAGCTTCGTAAATGACCTTTTTTAATTGGGCACAATTTTTTTGATTAGGTTTGCGCTGATCTGATTTGATCTGATTTGTTTCAATTTGATCGGTTTATTCTATTTAGGTTTGATATGACTTAAACCGGTTTAGTTGATGTTTGTTCTATAATTATACGTACTTACGTAGTACTACAATTGTAGAAGTCCGATTCAATTTAATCTGACCATTCTAGGTCTTATCTCATCCGAGATTCAAATTAATCTACTTAAATTTTTAATATGACTAAAAGCAAAAAGAAATTTAAAGTGGTGTATCAAAGTAGAAACATAGAAAAATAGCAAACCGAAAGTGAATGATTTACTGCACTCGTCCCTTAAAACTTTGAAATCTTTTTTTTTTAAATCTGTTTTTTGAAATCTGTACTAGATCTTTTTTTTTAAATCTTTCATTTTTGATTTGTCACAAAATTTATTACCTTTTTAATCAATTATTTTATGATTTCTGTTATTTCTTTCTTTTCTGCACAAAACTCAACCATATAGTTTTCATTTTATTATTTTTCATACATATCCAATTTGATAAAGTTTTAAGAGTGAGATATGTAATAATCGTGTGACCAATTATCAATTATTTTGGAAAAATGAAATGCAGGTTCTTTTTGCCACATGACTCAGATATATGCACGGTTGGAACTGCAAATATGTACTGTGTATTAATTATCTCCTACTTTGTATCCTTTTCAAAAAAGTTTATGGAAAATAAATTTTATTTATATAAACATAATTAAAAGTTGAATTTTTTCAAAAATGTTACTACAATCAAATTTGTTTATACAAATATGACTAATATTTACTACAATATACAATGTAATATTATGGTATCTTATATTTTAAATTTGAATTTAAGTTACTATGATTCCATTACTAGTCCAGTCATTAATCACATTTTTGTAAACAATATTTATTTCAGTCATAAATATGTAGTTATTTCTCAAAAGCTATTATCAGTATGATGTCATGATTACTTAAATGTAGAAATTAAACATAAAGTATCATGATTAAAATTATGTGCACGGTTTTACTACTCCCTCCGTTCCTAAATAAACTTCCATCTTTCCTTTTTCGTCCGTTCCAATTAAAACTTCCACTTTCTCTTTTTGTTAAAGAATTTGTGGTTCACAACATTTCTTACACATTTCTCTCTCTTCTGCACAACTCTCCACCACACAATATCCACTATCTTAAACTTTGTGCCAAACCCATTTGGAAGTTAAAATGGGAACAGAGCTAGTATTACTTAAGTCACTATATTTAAGAAGTCAAATTTTTAGAGACAAACTTTATTTTAATTATAAATATACTCCCTCCGTTCTTAAATATGCGTCCTCTTAGGCTTTGGCACGGGTTTTAAGAGTAAAATAATAGGGGTAGTGTAAAAGGTGTAGTGGGTCGTGCGTAAATGAAAAAATAGGAAAGAGAAAGGGGTAATGGTAATAAAAGTGGGGGTATAAAGATATTTTGATTGAAAAAACTTACCAAAAAGTGAAAGAAGGATAAATAATTAAAAACGTCCCAAAAGGAATGCGAGACAGTTAATAAAGAACGGAGGGAGTATAATTCTTTCTTTTGTGTTTTTACTTTGGTCGGTTTGGATAAAATCATTATTACTTTATCCACATTGACACATTGTCCACTGGATTAACTTTAAAAGAATCCAAGCGAATTTAAACAATAGTTATTAAAGTTGTACTTATATTTTTCAAAGATGCATCATGTGAACTAAAACTGATTTTTCCTTCAGCCACTTTTACCAAAATAAGAGGGAAAAGGAGAAGAGCCAAACAAAGCAGAAAACTTGTTGGGGTGTGTTTGTTTGTCTAATACCAACAGAGGACGTTTGGTTAGCATACCATAAACCAAGGAGACATAAGAAGTAACCACTGTTCCTTCATTTCATTTCCACTTCTGTTAGGGCATCTCATCAGATAAGACATACCTTAATGTACAAACTTTTTTTTTTAATTTTTTTCTTTATTTAGTGATTTGTTTGTATGGAATCTATGCCCCACACTTCCACATGTGCTTTTTGATGGTCACCTTTGTGCTTAAAATAATGCTACAGAACAAAGAGAAGATAATTAACACTACCATTCAGGAGTGTTAATCAATAATCTACAAACTCATTTTAAATCAATAATCTGCACCCATACTAATTAACATTAATTTTCTTTGATAGTGTGAAAATTTCAAAATAAAGAAATTATGGTATCTCAATTTAAATCAATAATCCATACCCATACAAACTTTAATTTTCTTTGATAGTGTGAAAATATCAAAATAAAGAAATGATGGTTAAGCTTAAGCTAAAAAAGTCACTTCTGCAGTGTTTTAACATCAAAAGATTAGTGTAAGAACATTTTTCATAACATTTGAATAAGTGGTTTTAAGCTAAAATATACGGAGTATAATGTTTATAAGTTATCACATGTTTATACCAATGGTTGATTGGACCCTTACAGAATCTAAAAGGTCAAAAAGGGTTGAAAAGATATGCTCAGATTAAGAAGAATATTTTCTTGAACAGAAACATAAGAAAAAAGTATTTACCTGAATAGGGGTCCAACCACAAGGATCTGGATAGAGGTCAGAACCATTCCACTCCTTACCCACAAAGCCTTGAATAGCATGGTAGAGAGCTTCTTGCTCACTTTTCTCCATTAATGGAGCTTCATCAAGACTTTGGTCATCCCCATTGCACCACCCAACCAAATAGACCATAAACAGCAAAAGCACTTTCATGCTGCTAAGAGAAAGCATACACTTTCTTGAAAGGCACTTTCTTAATTGGAGCAGTGCATGAACACTGCACACAATAAAATGACCAGTTCTCTACTCACCTCTTCTCTAGGTGAGGAAATGGAAATGGGAAATATCTTTAAAAGAGTAAGCATTAAAAAGAAGCTATCTTTATTACTTTTATTTATAGGAAGTCTGTTCTTTATTGGATCCAAAAGTGATTCCTATCAAACAGAGAAAATAAGGGAACAATGAAAAAGAGAGGGGAACTACTGCTTATCCTTCCAAATGATTCATAGCAAGGGGCTAACTGGTTAAGGCAGAAAAGGAGAAACAGAGGGGCAGGGTAGAGTAGAGTAGCCTTAGGAGATGATAGAGAAGAAGAACCAAAGTCTAGGTAGGATGTTTTAGCAGCTAAAATAGATGTTGCACAGGTGTCAAGGCCCTTTACTCTATCAAAGCAATTGTGGAAATGTCAATTATTAATGAACTAATTAAATTCTGAACTGGCAATAACTGCAAAAGACCGGCGAGAGAGCTATGCTATAGCTTTATTAATTTACTCCGACGTACTAATCACAATCCTTTTCTCACCCAAGCTTTGCAGCTTGCACTGCACTTATATAGGTTAGGTACTTGGGTTTTGCCGCTTTTTACTTGCCACTTAACCAATTTAATGAGAATAGTAACTTAATCATTTAGTTAATAAGTTATACTTGCTTAAAGTTTCATTTAATGCGCCATTTATTCATTATGTCAAAAATCCTGACTTCGAGAGTGTTTGCAAATAATTAAAAAAATTTGTTTTTTCAGATTTAAAAAGGGTTGAAATTAGTGTTTTCAAGTGATAGCTTCTGCCTAAATTAATCACTTAAAAGTCAAAAGCTAGAAGCAGGTTAAATGCTATGTTTAAAAAATCGGACTGGGGAGTGACCCGGCCACATGACTGGGTCACGGGTCAGCCCGGTCAACGCTGGAAAACCAGTCAACGGTTATGCGTCTATATAATACTCCCTCCGTCCCTGAAAATACTTCCAACTTTCCCTTTTCGTCCGTCCCAAAAAGAACTTCCCTTTCCTTTTTTGGCAAAGAATTTGTGGTTCACAGCATTTCTCTCTCCTCTACACAACTCTCCACCACACATTTCCCACTTTCTTAATCCGCGTGCCACTTTATTTCGGAAGTAAATTATGGAACGGAGGTAGTAATAAACATATAATTATATACAAAAACTCAGCTGGTCGCCGACTCACTCTCCCGCAATTGAGTAAACTCAATGGAGTGAGTTTCAGCCTAGATTACTCCAGACTCCCCCAGTCTCCCTCCCCCAGACGCCCCCTGGAGTAAAAAAAATACAAAATTATAATGAAAAGTAGTTATTATTAACAATAATCAACTAACAATACTACTTATTAAGAATTTAATACACTCTCATAATATTTCAAAGTATAATTTTGATCCTATAAAAATATATAATGATTTTTTTATTTCTATTGTACATTTATATTATAATTTGGCATGATTTTCATTCTTAAATAAATATATAAATATATTACATAGTTTTTCTTTTGAGGGTATAGAAATTGCAATTTTATTGCTTTAAAAAATGCATTAAAATTAAAAAGAAATTATTTTTTAAAAAAACATCCAAAACCGGGTTTTCCGTTTTTTTTGGGTTTCATGGGTCCGGGTCCGGACCGGGTTTTCCCGGGTCAGCCGGTTTTTTCCTGTTTTTGACCATTTCCGGGTTTTGAGCAAACCGAACACGGTTTTTGTCTGGGTCGCCGGGTTCTGGGTCGATCGGGTTGGGTCAGGTCGGTTTTTTAAACATAGGTTGAATGGTGTTTTAAATTGCTTTTCACTTTTTCTATTGCAGAAAAACACTTAATTTAGAAAACACTACCAACTTTTACTATTAAACACTTTCTCCAGAAATTAATTTGAAAAAACACTTTTTAAAAGTAGAAGCAATAACAAACATCCTTTGTTGGGTCCCTGTTTCTACACTAAAAATATAAGAAATGAAGCTCAAAATAGGTAGATGAAGCCTTCCATTGATGAAGTTTACACAATGATAGGAAAATTTAGCGTAAAACTTCTGTGGGTGTTTTGCTCTCTGCGCTCAGGTGGAATATTTCTGAAAAGGCTTACCTACTTCATTCCCTTAAAGACATATTTATAACCTTGAGAATGGGTAGGTCACAATGATTGGACCCTTAAATCAAGGAGGCCCATATTCCACTTTTGCATACTATATATATTTAAGGCTATTCTACCCAATATAAAATACAACAAAAGGCCTATAATAATAAAGATTGATCACAATATAAAATATCTCTAACATCCCCCCTTTTGTGGGAAATTCGCACAAAAAAGGATCGGTCATGGCCGAAAGCATGAATCCCTTACTAACAGAGTTTCACGAGTAGTTGGAGACCATTAGAGAAGAAATCCGGTGAGAAATGGCCCAACGGATCAGTTTTCTCCAGCGAGAAAATGATGTATTGCGCTCTCAAGTGAAAATGGTGGCATCCATAGCCTCCAACTCGAGGTTCAGTCAACGGAGTGGCGCCATGACAGCAGCTACGAGGTTGGATTTGGATCCCATCCCAATCTCGACCGAACCTCTCAGTGGCGTGACGACGGATCATTTGTCTCTCACATTGGGGCTGTCACCCACCGAAAATCATCGGTCGAAGTTGTCACCTAACGGCAATCCTCACACCACCATCATCTCGTAGGTCATTCCATATACTCCACTCATACCAGAAACAACTCCACCCTCAAATATCCCGGCCTGCTACTTTCCGGATTCCCTTCGGACTAGGCCATTATCGTCGGGCTTGCAATCCATCACATAGAAAATGCCCACATCAAATGCTGATTCAATCCCGACCGAACCCTTCGTCCCCTATGTGGCCGCCGGCTTGCCCGGAGAACCAGGATCATCTATGCGCCCTGCCTCTCGTCCCAATTTCAGGCGAGGCGCGGCTCACAATTTTGTGGCAGAGCCTCAGAGAAGAAGAGCCCCGACTCATGTCGACATTCCCAGAAATGTCGACTTCACCAGAGATGTCAACTTCAGTGGTCAGAATCGGCGGGGTCCAGAATTCATTGATATATCATCCCCCGCCAGGCAGGAGACAATCCGGGCAGCAGCTTCACCCATCCAGGCAGAGCCTCGAGCACGGACACATCCAGCGGATCCTTTAGCTGTCATCATGGAAGAATTAAGAGAGATGCGAGAGAAGTTCAATTGCATTCCAGGAATGCCACAACCATTAGACGCCGCCTCGCAGACATACTACGCTGACTCTCCCTTCGGGAGGCACATCAGTGACGTCGAAATTTCGACGAAGTTTGCAGCACCCTCAATGAAGCTGTTCGATGGAACCACCGTAGAACACGTCACCCATTATAAGCAATGGATGCTTGCCGTTTCCATCAGACCAGACCAGCGGGAGGCCTGCATGTGCAGAGCCTTTGTGACAACATTTACTGGACCAGCTTTGAAGTGGTTCGTTAATCTGCCAAACGAAGCCATCCACTCATTTGCGGAACTCGTCAACATCTTCAATCAACAATTCACAAGTAGTCGGGTTCTGGGGAAGCAGACAAACGACCTGTATCGAGTGGTCCAGAAGCGGAGCGAGACCTTAAGAGACTACCTTCATAGATTCAACAGAGAAAAAGTGTTGATTCCAAGATGCGACATGTCGACAGCTGTAGAGGCATTCAGAAGAGGACTGCTAGAAGATTCAGAGCTCTACATAGAGTTGACCAAATATCCCTGCAGGACATTCAAAGATGTTCAAGCCAAAACCCTGGCATTCATCCGGCTTGAAGAAGACCAACAGTCTCGTCAACAGTCCGAGGGTTATGAAGGAGGACACAGGAAAGCAAGTTCATCCAAAAGACACGAGTACCGAGAGGGGAAGCCTTACACAAAAAACGAAGATCGACAAGTGGCATCATTAACCAGCTGGCGTGATGATCCAGATCTGCCACAATTGATAGCGGAATATTATTTCAATGTCGACACCGCAGGACTCATTAATTCTTTGGACAAAATAGGGGAGAAGGTCCGCTGGCCCAGGAAATCTGACAAGTCAGGAGGACGACGAGATCCCAGCAAGAGGTGTGATTTTCATGACGACATCAGCCATAACCCCGAAGACTGTGTCGCTTTAGGAAGGAGGTCGCCTATCTCCTACGAAATAGATATCTGGCGGAGATAGTGTCTGAGCAGACTAAGTCCCTCCTGCACCGAGATCCAAAGCCGACAACATTTGGACAACGACCACCGTCTCCTTCTGCCCCTCACAAGATAATAAACTTTATTAATGGTGGTTCTGAATGATTAGGACTAACATATTCTGCAGCCAAGAGACACGCTCGGGAATACTCCCGAGACAAGTCGTCACAGGTCTGTCGAATAGCCAAGCACGAAGAGGACTGGAAGAATGTATCTATTACCTTCGATGAATCCGATAAAATGGACCCAACCGACGTCCATCACAATGCCTTGGTTATTTCACTCCGAGTGTCAAACTGTGAAGTACGTCGAGTCCTTGTCGACAACGAAAGTACCGCAAACATCACCATGATGAAGATGTTGGAACAGATAGGCTACAAGGAAGAGGACGTGACGAGTTCTGGATCAACCTTGATCGGCTTCAATGGAGAGCCAAGCTGCACTTTAGGTAATGTGTCCTCACCCGTATATACAAATGGTCTCAATTTGCAGGTCAAGTTTGATGTGGTGCAAGAGTTACCCGCTTACGACATGATACTGGGAACACCCTGGCTACATCAAATGGGGGCAATTCCGTCCACCTATCATCAAGTCGTCAAATTTCCAACACCGTGGGGAGTATAATCAATTCAAGGAGACAGAACAACTGCAAAGTCATGTTACCAAACAACAATGAAGTCCACTGCAACACCAGGCACCTCAGCATAGCAATTAAAGGGCGACACCATTCTAGATGAAGAGGATGATGACAGAACAGAGGATGTCATCATCGATCCTGATCATCCGAAACGGGTCGTCCACATTGGGAGAAGTGTGCCAGAACACCTTAAAGGCGAACTCATCAACTTCCTCAAGGAGCATAAAGATGTTTTTGCATGGAGCCACAACAACATGACGGGAGTTGATCCAAAAATCATCACTCACAGGCTAAACGTCAACAGATCACACAAACCCGTCAGACAGAGAAGGAGACTGTTCGCCAGAGAAAGGAACGAAATCGTCAATCAGGAGATTGAGATACTACTGCGCACCGGAAAGGCTCGGGAAGTCAAATATCCAGATTGGCTGGCAAATGTCGTCGTCGTACAGAAAAGGAAAGGGAAAAAGAAGGGCAACAAAGCAAAATGGCGAGTATGAGTCGACTTCACTGATCTTAACAAAGCATGTCCGAAAGATTCTTTCCCAATGCCGCACATAGACCCATTAGCAGAGGCGACGGCAGGACATGAGATGTTTTCATTCATGGATGCATTCAACGGCTACCATCAGATTCAATTACATCTTGATGATCATGAGAAGACGGCTTTCATCACAGAAACATGTACGTGTTGCTATATCGTCATGCCTTTTGGTTTGAAAAATGCAGGTGCAACCTTCCAGAGGCTCGTGATGATGATGTTCAAAGACCAACTGGGAAAAACCATGGAAGTCTACATCGACGACATGCTAGTTAAGTCGAAGAAGACAGAAGATCATGTTGACCATCTGCATGAGTCGTTCAAAAAACTAAGAGAATACAATCTGAAGCTCAACCCGACCAAATGCACCTTCGGGGTGACCTCAGGAGATTTTTTGCGCTATATTGTCAGCGAGCGAGGAATTGAAGCAAGCCCACAATAAGTTCGAGTCATCCTCGACATTGAGTCATCCAAATCCATCAAAGATGTTCAGAGACTGACTGGACGAGTTGCTGCCCTTAACCACTTTATATCGAAGTCGTCAGATAAATGCCGCCTGTTTTATGATGTCCTCAGAAAGAATAAGAAGTTTGAGTGGACAGACTAACATGAGCAAACACTCCAACAGTTGAAGAAATACATGACGACTCCCCCTCTGTTGGCCAAACCTAAAAACGACGAAGAGCTGCAATTGTACCTGGCCGTATCAGAAAATGCCGTCAGTGCAGTCCTGACTAGAGAAGAAGAAGGACAACAAATTCCTTTCTACTACATCAGTAAGTCACTAAATGGACCGGAGTCCAGGTACGCACTTTTAGAAACATTAGTGTTAGCTTTAGTTACCGCTTCCGTTAAATTACGCCCTTATTTCGAATCACATGGTATTTATGTCTGCACTAACTATCCCATGAAGTCAATCATGAGGAAACACGAATTAACACGTCAGATGGTGAAGTGGTCAATACAGTTGGGGGCGTACGACATCAGATACGAGCCAAAGACAGATCTCAAGTCATAATGCTTAGCCGATTTTGTGGCGGACTTCAGCCCTAAGTTGCAAGTGGAAGCAGAAAAGGAAACTTGTCTACTTATAGAAGGACCGTCTCGACAGAAATGGGTATTACATACTGACGGAGCTTCAAACATGCAGGGGGCAGGATTGGGAGTTGTCCTGAAGTCGTCACAAGGGGGCATCATCCGGCAAGCTGTCTGTGGTGAATTCGACGCAACAAATACTGAAGCGGAGTATGAAGCACTAATCTTCGGGTTGAACTTAGCACAAGATATCTTGACAGCAGCGGGAAAGCCATAGGAGTTCTCGATATCTTCTTTGTCCTGCTCCCTTAAATCGCCAACCCTGGTGTTCTTGGCTTCTAAAAGTTTCTTGTTCACAAATATAGGGTTCTCCATAATAACGACGGGTTGAACAAGAAGAAGAAACTCGCTAGTTGACAAGAGATACGGAGTATGAGAACGAGCACGAAAGAGTGAAGACAGGCTGAGAAAGAGAGGATTAAAGGTTATGGTTGAAGTTCCCGCTTAACGAGAAATTTGACAGTTGATGGGGAAAGTAAAATGCGTAGGGAGAGGAAATTGTTGGGCCAGTGATTTTATCTACGAATGGGCCGGCCACGAAGGCTACTCGGACAGAGCAGATGGGCCGGAAATGATGTCGATTCTCATAGCCCAACGATGACAGTAAGCAGTCCGTTCGCAGGGAGGAGATAAAACCAAGAAGTCGTTTGGAATTAGCCAAGTCAAAGGAAAGAATGGATAGAGATTGGTTGTTGAACGTGGAGCAAAAATAGGGGGTCATTGATAATCTTGGGGAGGAAGCATATTTAATTTAATAAATAGATGGGAAAAGAGGCAAATAAGGTCACGTACTAACCAAAAAAGGTCAAATAAGGCCTTATTTATGAGGCTCTGTCCGGCCTTCGCCATTTGGGGTGGTTCTTGCTGGAATTTTTTGATGAATTTTTTTACCATCTTATTCATTAAGTCTAGTTTACTCATACCAAATTTCAGATAAAAATTTAATCGAGAAGGCATTCAAATGAATTCTTGAAGATAACTGCGCTTTTAACTGCGCAATTATCTTAAAGAATTCATTTGAATGGCTTCCCGATTGAAGTTTTAGCTTACATTTGGTATGAGTAAACTAGACTTACTGAATAAGATGCTCAAAAAATTTCATCAAAAAATTCCATCGAAAACCAACCCAAATGGCAAAGGCCGGACAGAGTCTCATAAATAAGGCCTTATTTGACTTTTTTTGGTTAGTACATGGCCTTATTTGCCCCTTTTCCCTAAATAGATTGCTTAGAAAAAGAGAACACGCATACGTATTGATTACGAACAACTAGCTATTCACTTACTGTATTCCAACAAGAAGCTATTCGAATTATTTCAATATATATTCAGTTCATATTGCTATTCTCGCTTCACTTATAATGAGCCTATTTTCGATTCATATTTGTTCGATTCCCATTTCAATTTTAGATCAGTTTATTACTGCATGAACATTTACTAATATTTCATTCTCATTTGTTAGTGTTAGGCGATTAGCAAATTCAGTGGCTCATAATTTAGCAAGAGCGGCTGATTTTATGTTTGTGTCAAATTTGGATGTCTTTTCCATCGAGCTATATTTTGAACGCTTTGTCATCTGATTTTATTAATACAAATCAAGTTATTAAAAAAAAGAATCACTTTGCATGCAAGGATAATAATAATGACTTAAAAGAAGGTTTACGATGTTTGGCTAAATTATTTAATGTTAAAGTATAGAGTTCTTTTAAAATCATTTTACCGTGTAATGTATTTTACGAGGGATGTAAAATACTTTACATGTTTTTTAAAATAAATTAATTATCTAGCCAATCAATATATCTTATTTTATATGCAACCAAATATTTTCCTACGGTTTGCATGTAATCTTTTAACGCGCCAAATTTTAATGTGTAAACTATCACATGAGCCCTTAGAGAATTTATTATATTCTTATGAATAATATAACAAGAACAACTCTATATATTGGTATTATTTGTACCATTAGAATCTATTGATTTGTACTTATTTAGAAGCCGAAAAAGATAAAATTGCATAAAAGTGAACTAGACCGAAACCGAATCAATCAAAACTAAACCAACCGAAACCAAAACCGAATGAAACACACTAATCTGTCAATAATTCAGTTTACGATTTATGCTTTTGAGTTAAAAAACCCCACTCAAACCAAAATCAGCAGACCAAAAAAATCTAAAATCGACCGAAACCAATGCAAACCGATCAGAACGACTCATGTTTTCTAGTCCAATTTTCAGTTTCACCTATTTTAAAAGTCGCTAATACCAACTAATTAAAACCAAAACCTACCAACTAAAAACCAAAACGATCAAAACCGAAGTACCGGACCAATAAAACCACAATTGACCAAACTGAACCGACGAACATCCCTAGATTAAACTATGCTAGACCAAAATTAAATATACTATACAATAGTCGATGGCTGCTATCTTTGCAGACCATTTGAGAAAATATTCAACCTGTGTTATGAAAAATGTCTCAATAAACATGCTTTGGAGATAAGATCATAAGAAAACAGAAAATTGAAAAAATGAAAAACAAGAAAATTGAAACAGGACAGCAGAGGTGAACGGATTCTGAAGTCCTGCAATTCTGCAAAAGCTGTAGATGTTTAGGAACGTAACATGGCCTTTTCTACACACAACTATACACCATAAAAAAATGCCAATATATATATAGAATCATGATACAAAATGTTCATAATGTATTCCTGATCTCCACCCAAACAGCACAGTGCAGACAGGGATGTTACCAGTAACTTGAAAATAAACAATAAAATTCAAAGTTCATCATGCATATGTTGTTCTAAGGGTATATTTAAAGGAGCCACAAAATCTCCTGCAGCCGCCCCAGGTACAACCTCCATTTTCCCAGTCATACCCCCACTCTTTACAGCTTCCATAACTTTTTGCTGTAACCTTAGTAGCCCAATACGCTTTGAGACAACAAATAGAACTGCCAAAGAGAATAGAAGAAACCCCACAACAAGTATCACCCTGTTCATACATTATATTATTATGATCTTAGCTCAGAAAAACTAGAATGGAAGACATTAGTAAGTAATTGAGCATTACACACTTATATTACCTATCAAGAACATCCTGACGTTGCATTGTGGATAGAAGGTTACGGGTTCGCATCAGCAATGAGCGGTGCCCCTTGTACTCACTTTCAGCTTTTCTCAACACTTCTGTTGATCCCTCTGTATTTTTACCAAAACCATGTGAGTAGTTTTCTAACTGATACACTAATATACACTGCCTCTGCAAAACATTGAGATTTAATGCGATATCATGTCTGATTTAAAGTCAAAAGACAATAGAAACACAATAACACACTCCAACTGTAGCTCAACTAGTGACTGACAGTCTCATAGTCCTGTACTGTAGCTGCTTGAAGCCATTGATAACATACAGTAAAGCAGAAAAAAGGAAATTAACAGCAGCAACTAAATACATTTTTTATATTTATATTTTATACTACCTCCGTCCCATTAAATTCTTCCCACTTACCATTTTTGGACAATTTGTGTGGTTCACATTCATTTCACCTTTTTCTTACACAACCACAACCATACATTTCTACTTTCTTAATCTCCGTGCCAAGTCAAAGTGGGAAGAATTTTATGGGACGGAGGTAGTACTTCACAAGCCAAAAGAAAACCCTGCACCAACCCCCTGCCCCCCTGCTTCCAAACTAAAACACTTAATAGACCTTGCATTTTGTATTTCTATTTTTGTATTTTCTTTGCCCTGTTAAAAGAAGAAATTTATGATAACACTAAATGGCTAAATAAAGCAAAATATGAAAATTGCAATAAGAACTTATCTGAAGAAGGAAAGTCTTTATAGAAAGAAATGCAAGATGCCTACCAAATGTCATGAGAGTGCTCGCACTTCTTTCAACCTCCTGAAAGTAATTCAAACAAAAATCAGAAAAAATATGAGTAAATTCTTCGGGGAAAAACATATGATTGTTTCAAAGACAGCAGATACTAACTTGAACCATCATTTGGCGAGTTCGGCGAAGGCTCTCTGTGATGCTTTCAGCTGCAGATGTCATTCCGGCTTTTGTCCTGAAACATTTTGCATATAATACTTTTACACACTTCTACTAATATCCTTGTAAGATAGTCCACTAAAACACATTTAAGACGAGCAGGAGTACAGAGAGTATGTGTTTTGAAAAATGAAGAAGCCCATTATACATACTGTAGGTTACGTCTACGAATGGTAGATTCTCCTCCACCTCCCAGAAGCAATTCTCTCTGCATACAATTATTATGTGAATTTAGAAAAACATTCCCAAAAATATATCTCCCTAGAAGAAAAATAAATGGGATTGTTTTACAGAGTACAGAAAGTAGCATCAACTATTCCACGAAATAATTACTCTGCAAAAAATAACATGCAAGATTACAATGCTCAAGTATAATGGGTCTCCAAATAAGAGATTTTTTGTACCTCTTCTTGCGCAGTTTTCCTCATATTAGCCTTGGCTTGCAAATTTGCACTTCTCAAAGACAACCTCAGGCTAAACGGTCCAGATAACATTTTGATTAAATTAAGGAAAACAACCATGAGAAGAAGCATGAAGCATGCACATAGGAATAGAATTGCTTTAATCTCTGTGCATATGCTATTCTATACTCTAAAGCACAATATGAGTATAAGAACTGAGCAAAATATGGATTCGTAAGTCTATAACACACTCTGCAGCAGATGAAGTTTCCTATCCAGTACACGAGAAGTTTTAGGGAAACAAATGACTTCATAATGGAGTCATATGGTCTACTGTGGCATCATCACCACCAGACAAGTACTTAGCGGTGGGGGTGGGGGGGGGGGGGGGGGCACTAAATGATTGTGCGTGTGGTGGTGATGCCACAATAGACCATATGACTCCAATAAGGGAGTCATATGTTTTTCCTTAAAATTTTTGTCCAGTACACAACAATACATTTCAATAGGTACCTCAAATCTGGCAATTCACAAGTTAAATTTCACATATTTCTAAAAATCAACTCATGAAACCATAAACCCCCTTTCTTTTCTTTCTGTTTCCTTTTTTCTAATGATAATAGAAGAAATGAAGGAGTGAACTCTAAGTCTATAAAATACAAAAAAAAAAACGGTTTAAAAGTTCAGATAGCTTTAAAACCTAGGAAGAGTTTCAATCCCACCGTCTCCTTTCCTTGATAATTGATAATAGAAAACAAGCAATTCAAACTGCCAATTTTTACAATATATCAACCAATTCATTTGGCGATAAGTGATCCCCCCAAAAATTACTAGTATATGCATAACTTGAGAGTTGAAATCTATCAATAAAAAATAAAGGGGTATTTCAATAATTTATTAATCACAGAGCTTCAGATGAATTGGCAATAAGTTCTCATTTTCCAGTGCCACATCATCATCATCACCCCGTGCCTCAAAGGCTCCCGGGATCGGATGTATTCAGTCTTACCCCTTACCCCTGTTCTAGAGCAGAGAGACTGTTCCCGGTGCCACACATTCAAAAAAATCTTTATGAAACAATTGGGGGAAGGGGACAATGTGGTACCTATCTATTTGTTTTTTCCAAGATTCTGCCAGAGACTGAGCATCCTGGACCTGATCACCAATGGGCATCTGAGGTGCCAAGAGATCAAGCTTGAATTGCAGCGACTGAAGATGATTTAAGCTATCTTGTGCGAGACCATTTAGCCTGGGGAGTGAGCTCTTCTCTTCTGATGTCGCAGAGGATAACCCCAATCCAGATTTTCCATGCTCTCGGATTGAATTGATGTGTTCCTCTAGTTTCTTTATTGTTTCTTCATACTCTTTTTTCACGGTCTCCACCTCCACTGTCACCTTGTCCATTATCATTTAGAGTGGAGTTTAAGCCCCTTTAATTAGGACAGTTCTGGAAGCTACCAAGGATGTGGAAAAGGATCGGATCCGCGCATAGTTACTAATCTATACATATATTTATACATATATATAAAAACGGTTTACTCTCAAAAAATATACTCCCTCAATTCCGAATTGAATTGCAAACTTTGACTGACAGATTAAGAAATGTCAATAAATGATCCTTTCTTTTTACACTTTTGTCAATCTTTCTAAAAGTAGATGCCTTTAAGTTAACAGGAAAAAATAAAAGTAAGAGTAAAATTGTCACTTTATTCTTATTTACATACATAAAATAGAAAGAGGAAAATCATTTGGAATAACCAAAAAAAGGAAATTTTTGCAAATCAAATTGAGACGGAGGGAGTACTATCCCCAGTTCCATAAAAGGTGCAACTTTGACCGTAATTATATTTATTTACGTATTAGTAAACATAAAAAAAGTTAATATATTGGAAATTTACATTAATACAAATTTATTAATATTTTATACATAATATTTTTATTATATATATTATTAGAAAATCTTAGTCAAAGTAAGTTATGTGAATAACACAGAAATTCCAATGTGATAACTTTTATGGAACGGAGGAAGTATATATAAAGTTATAAACCACGAGACCACAGCAATAGCGCAGGCGTAGTTCGGTCCCATCCTTGGGTAACAGTAGCAACTTACCCCTTGGGAGTTATAAAATCCTCCCTCCATAACTAGGTTTTACAATTTCTATTTGAAAGTTTTATAAGGTCTAAGTATGCAAATGAGAGATTTATGCTCTGAAATTAAAATCATTTCCGCATAAAATCTTTATTAGCTGCTACTCATTTCATCTTTTGAAATTTGCAACTCCCAAACAAGGAGGGTGAACATCAAACCCTTCCCTCATTTGTTGCCATATGGTTTCTCATCCCCTTTTTTTCTTTAAATTAATTTAACTTTTTATTTATTGATCAAATTTTATAAAAATAATACGGTATATCAGATTTAATAACTTTTTATATTCTTTCTGATGGTATCCATATTGCATACATAAAAAATTGAAAAAAAAATCTTTTTTTCTTATATCTATTTTAAGTTGATTTTTTTTTTAAATTTTACATATACAATATTAGTATTATATGAAAGATCATAAAAAATTAAAAATATAGATATATTTTTTGAAAAAATTGAACCAAAAATGCAAAACTTATACTCCCTCCGTCCCCTAATATTGGTATGGAAGAGTGTGGTGTGGTTTTTAAGAAAAGTAGAATTATGTGTTTGGTAATGAGTTGATAAAGTGGAAATAAAGTAAGAATGAATTAGAGCCACACAAATGTTACCAAATATGGTATGAGACAATAATAAAGAGACATCCAAAAATGAAAAAATGGGACAATTATAGGGAGACGAAGGGAGTACTACATAACAATTACAAAATCTGACACTGCCCTGTTACAGAAGCCTTCTACTGCTCACCGATAAATTGGAATTGAGCCTAAGAGAATATAGCCCGCACCGCCGACCTAGTTCTTGCGCCGCCCAGGAGAACTTATCGCAAAAAAAACAGAGTTCGCATAACCCAGGCTTTAGCCCTGCCGCCGTCCACCAGAACGAAACTAACAAACCGATCGAACTACGCCGGAAGGAAACCGGCCGTCGATCACCAATCTAACCCTAGACCACTGCTAGGCCGTCCGCTTAAATTACAAATTTGTTAATATCAGTGTTTGTGGATTTTTTTTTGAGAAATCATACTCCCTCCGTAAATAATTGGGAAAACTGTCAAATAAGCCCTTCTACTTTGTAAGGAAAGTCAATTAAGCCCCCCTACTCTAAATTCATTCATTTCAGTGCACGAAGTCTAAAAAACAACCAATTAGGCCGTTTGGAAGGTTACCAACCGGTAACCCCGTTCACTGCTTATGTGGCAGCCTAAGTGGCAGTTTTTAAATTGGCTGAGTAAGTTGACATGTCAAATATTTTTAAAGATGCAATGGGAGTATATTAAAAAATAAAAAAACTAAACCCTAAACATTTCAAATTAAGCCCTAATGTTTCAATGTTGCCAGCGACGCCATTCAGCTCTCAGTGAAGAAGAACGACGCCATTGAAATGGTCCTTACCAGAAGTGAAGCGCAACCAACATCTGTTTGAGTGGTCGGATTTAGTACAACCTCACAGGTAATATTTGAACTCTACTTTTATATAACCCCACACATTTTTACATGTATTTGCTTGGTCGGATTCGCTGTTTGTCCAACTCTGTTTGTATACACGATTAAGTGGAATTGATTGGTAGTGTGTGTGTTTAAACATTTTCCCCGTAATTTGAGTAGTGATTTTTTCCTTGAAGTGATTCATTGGTTGTTTTGTACAGCATGTTTGACAGGGTCGAGCTCATTATTCACCATGGAGGGAACTTTGTTAGTACTCCTCCTACGATGTACGTAGGTGGTGAAGTGGACATCATTAAAGTAGATCCTGATTTCATAAGCTATACTCATCTGATGAAGTCTCTAAAATCAGGATCATATGGGAACATTTGTGGGCTGTATTACAAAACACCAGAACAACCAATGGAGATGTTACATGAATTGTTCAATGATGCATCAACCCTAGATCTGATATATATGGGTACAAGGTGTGGGAAGTGTGAGATTTATGTACATCACAGTCTTGATGAAGCTGAATTAGTTGAAATTCCTCTATTACATGTGCCAACTACGAATGCCAATGGTAAACCTATACCTCAACATGATGAAGAACCTGTTATAGGTGGTCATGCAGATGTTGACCAAACAAGTGAAGGGTTAACATCACATGATGCAGAGGAGGAATACAAAACTAAAAGTGACACCTCAGAAGGGGAAGACAGTGTTGAGTATGACTCATCGAATCCAATAATTAATTCTCTTTATAATCTGGTTGGCATAATTTCAGTCCAATAATTAACATTGGCAGGACAATTTGGACCTGTGATTATGAATAAATTGAACAAAAACATTTTAGCTAGCCAAGGATGGAATGTGGATTTCAACGAGGACGATGGCTATGAAATTAAAAAGGGAAAACAACAATTCAAGGTCAGTATGAATGATAAAACATGTTCCTGTAGGAGGTGGAATTTGTCTGGAATACCTTGTGTGCATGCCATATGTGCCATTTTTATAATGGCCAAAATCCGGAACAATATGTGGACAACTGCTACTCTAAGGAATTCTACCAGAGAACTTATTCATACACTCTTCCACCAATTAATGGAGAGTTGTTATGGCCACGAACTCAGCATGAAGATATTCTGCCTCCTGTGCCAAAGAAGATGAGTGGACGCCCAAAGAAGAAGAGAATCCGGGAAGCATCTGAAGCACCCTCATCTGGTTCACAGCTTACAAGAAAGGGAAGGGTTATGAAATGTTCCAATTGTAAAGGGGAAGGACATAATAAGTCTTCTTGTACTAATAAAAACACACCTACTGAAGAAATACCAAGAGCTAATCCGAGAAGAAGAGGTGCAAGGCAGGGTAGATCTACTAGAGGAGGAGGGAGGGGAAGACAACAAAGTGGTTTTGGTGTGTACTACAATCACAACACTGGTCAAACCCTTCTTGATGTAAGTTAAAATATGTCTACTTCAATGTTGTTGTGGTGGAATTTGTTGTAAATTTGTATATTCAAATGTGGTGTTACCTCATTTCAGCCTGGGCAGCCAAGTGAAACAGTACTGAATGGATGATGAAGATAAAGGGCAAATGAAGGTTGCAGGATGGAAAGTCTTCTGGTTTTTTTGTTGGATGGGTGATGAAGATGTAAAGACTTTTTGTTTTGCTTGATGGCTTTTATGTAATGGGATGTAAAGACTTAGTTGTTTTGTTGGATAAGTAATGTGTGGTGGTAGTTTGGCTTGAAACTGTTGTTGGCAGTATGTTTGGCAAAACTTTGTGAGCTTTTTTGGGTGAATATTGGCTATAAAGTTGCTTGTATGTATGGTATATGTGGGCCAGAATTCATGCTTTTAAGTTCTCAAATCAGTGTTGGTTTTTGGATGTACAATCATGTTCAATTCAACCCATTCACATTTACTATGAAGTTGTTTTTTACTATAACATGTACATATATATTTAATGTTGGGATCCGTTTAATGTTTAATTCATCTTCAATTCATCCCATATTTAATTCCCAGACAATCGGAATCTTCATAGACATACCAACACAGTATGTTCAATTCAGTCCATTAAATTGTACCAAAAGTCAACAAAGGATGAAAAGTTTTACTATATTAACAATGGAAAGTGCTAAATGGTCATCAATAAGTACTACATTAGCAATGAAAAACTGTCATTACAGACCAAATGAAAACAAAAGCAACTGATTGCCTAAATTTGCATCACAACACACCAGATTACAACACACTACTACAAGCACTAATATATGCATTTTTTTGTGTTGAAGTGCATATACAACATACCAACAAAAGCAACTACAGCAATGAAAACAAAAGCAACTGATTGCCTAAATTTTTTGTTTTCTTTGGCTTCATTTTCAAGTAGCTTTGTAAGATAAGCAATCTGTCCTTGTACAGCCCTTTGTTCAACCATTGCAATAGTCATGAACCTCACATTGTCTGCTTTTGTCTTCATCTCTTCTCCATGATGTGTGCCTCTTATCTCTACATCATCCTTCCACAAGAAACATCCACATCCCATGTTAACCTGGAATGGAATGTCAGGGATGTTCAAACATTAAAGGGAACATTAAATTGACAATGGGGGAATTGTTTACCCTCAAAATTTAACAACAAACAACAACTTTAACACTCCCATCTTTTTAAAAACCGAATTCGAAGAATTAATACTTCTCCCTGTTTCACTTACAATGGCGAAAGAATGAATACAATGGCGAAAGAATTACCTTCCATTTTTGACAACCATAAAAACTTCTCCCTGTTTCGCGTACAACACACAAGGGGGATTTCAATCCACAAAGGCAATACACAGGCGGTTCATACAAAAGAGTAGAACTTCGTCCTTTAGTGGCAGTAGATGCGGATGAAGATGCCATCTACTTTCATTCGAAGACGACGACTGTT